AAGATGTTCGCGACCCTAGAAACTGTGGGAAAAGGCATTTCACATACAAAATACCCTGCAACACACTAGTAGGATACCCTAAATTCTTGCTACCTTTGTGAAGGGGCTCTCCCGGTGGACAAGAAAAGTAGCAGAGATCTTTTTTATCTCATCCTAACTTAACTAAAAACCACTATATTATATTATCTCTTTGGAACAATTAAAATGATTTATCGAAAACGATAGCACAATGAGGGCAATTGTTCTAGATATTTTGATTATTTTAGTACTTGGAATTAACTTACGCTAATAGTTAAAAAGATGAATCTCTGCCACTTTTCTTGTGCACCAGGAGGGGCTGTAACTGCCCACCTTCTCTAGATCATATGTGATAGAACTTTAAATCGTCCAAACCCGTTACCAGTACGGTGGTTGTTTGTGTGGATCAGTCATTCTGGGCGTCCCACAAGATTAAGTTCGGGTCCTTGGCTTACCTTTCAGCTTACAATGGATCCTCTTCGCTATGGGTACTCTAGCCTCCATTGGTAAGTAAGTGGTTGGCTTGTTGAAGGATTGGGGTTCAATCAGGAACGTTATTTCTTTAATTCGTCTATGATGTTTTCCAGTATCAGGTTTGGTAGACTTATCGCTCGTCTATATCAAGCATTGGAACCCCAGGAAAAAGTGGAGAGGTTAGCTGATTAAATATGCTCTCGTATAACGGAGGTATCTCCGCGCTTACAAGTATTCTTTACCCAACGTCAGTAATAGTACTTCCTATAAACCCGTGTATATGGCATTTGGATAACAAAGATGGATGAGAACTCTAGATAAATAGACAAGCCTGAGCCTTCTCTTTCTTCTTTCCAGTGAGAGGGATAGATTCTCTCCAGCTGGTTTCGAGAATTGCAAATATGGCTATGATTTGCATACTCGACAATTGATATAGCAAGTAGATGAGACTGCGGCAGCCACGAATGTATTGCCCTTTTTTTCAAGTGTTGTGTCTGGCTTCTTCTATTGAAGACTCAGACTCCCGTTGAAGAAAAAACTGGCAAGAAGGAGAAAGTGATTTCCATGAGAGACTTTTGATAGAACTGGTACTTCCAGCTGAATCTATGAAAACTCATCCTAAGCAAATCAGCTTGGTCACTGTTCAGGGAGGGTAATTATTTCCCCGTCTGTCACCTTAAGCAAGTAACATCTTTGGGGCCTCTGCAGAACATACTTCAGGCTCAATTGATGCAGCAAAATATTGGGTTACAGAGCCGATAGTCTGCATATTTGCGTAGAGAGACTGCTCGAGAAAAGGACTGCTGTCATTTAGAGGCTCAAGTAATGCATCTCAAGAACGTTTTCAGACCTTTTTTTTGTTTTTTTTGATATTCTGTCCTGAATGAAATAGAAACATTTGGGAATTGAAAATTGATGACAAAGTAACGTTCTCGTTGAGCAATACTCGGTACCGCTAAGACACAGTGAGCAAAATGCTCTGGGGGAATTACAATTATTCTAAAATGTGTAGGAGAATTAAATTATGTGATTTTACCAAGTCCTATTTTATCCCTCGGAGTCGTTCCGGATCAGCGTTCGTTGACAATTATCCGTCGAACCCAACCCCGCTCCTCATGTATGAATATATCAGGCGCCCGACTTCCGAATCGCCTCCAAATAGCTGGGAGTTTCCACAATAACGGTACTTTTCATGCTAAATAGCCAAGAAGGCTTGATTAAATTAGCAATTAGTCTTGCAATCAACTACACGTGCGAAGTTCAGATGAATGTTGCTTTGAGAGTCTCGGCGCGTGCTGTCACACAACTTGAAGAACATCGTGAATTTTGAACCTCCAAGTTGCGTTGAAATTGTCGAGAAAACGTGAGGAAAGTCTTACAGTTTCCATTTGACATTCTCATTACGTTTCCTCGCTGGTATTCTCGGTCATACGGATATCCACTGGTGGTTTTCTATCGAAGCTGGCATCTGTTCCGAGGTAACATTTCAAATGACTTTCGAAGTCCAGTCGAAGTCCGAAAACCAATTTAATCTATTATGGTCAAAGCACCCATTCCCCCACCATTCCAAGACAACCCAAGAAGGTAATTGGTTCCTCGCCTTATCTCTTTAAATGGAAATTCACACACCATCTTGTTCAACAATCTACTCCCAAGAACGACGCCCACGCCGGTGACAGTTTTTTGAAGAGCGTATTTCCTGTAAGTGGCAAGCAAGCCGATGATCGTCTGATTGACTTAATCAATATTTAATTTACAAAGAGACTGTTCGGTAGTTGCTTATGATGTAAGGCTGAGTAAGTTCCTCTACATAATTAATTGGCAAATACTTTATTTCTCGTCCCAATGATAACGGCGCGAATTGGAGTAAAACTGACGAACGTATTGTATGGTATTGCGTGCAGCATACAACTTTGTGGCGAGACCGAGTAGTATTGTCGCATGTGCATACTCGAGCATGCATATGTTTTCTTTTTCGGGGACCCCTACATGGGTGGATTTGTGGCGATCACTAACAATCGCGATCAGATTCGAAGGATTCAGTGGCTTGAGATGGCAACAACGAATCTTAGCCTAGTATTGCACAAGACAGGGCGATGGAACATTTAGAACCTTTCGAGAAGGTGTTACATTCCGCCAAGATGAGTAAACAGACACAGTAGGTACCGTAGGGGAATACTTCTTGTAAGTCTTGCTTTGTTAAACGGAAGCCCTAAAGGCTTAAGCTGGATAGCATCGGGGACAGAAAGGGAGGGTAGCTTTTGATATCCTTGGCTTGCTGAACACCACGGAAATTTATATACGTTATCAATACGTACAGGATGAATGCGTTGTACGGATAATATATTTGCTCAGGGAGTTGTTCAGGGGTTCGCTTAAAGTGGGTCATAAAGTGCCGAGTATCCTCCATAATTGGTCCAGTCGTGTCAGTCACGACATCCTCATCAGCGAGACCAAAAGCCTCAAAACAACAATCCAATTGTCTCGGACACGACGTTGCAATTTATCTTCTGCTCAGTGTTCATATACGTTGACACTGCGGATCTATACTCCTTCGATCCTGCTCCAGCGGACCATCTCGTGATGTTTTCATTGCTGCAGCCGCTCATAAATGAGACGCCGTCGTGAAGAGTGGCAAGGGGGGTCACGTCTTGCTTGGCGGCGACATATGCAGACCCCAACCAGGCCCCTGCCTCGATTCTCCTGCATCCAATCAAATTCCGTACTTTACTGTACACCGGCCTCAACCAAGTTTACCTTGATGCTGCCAAGCTATCCACCGCGATAAGCTCATGATAGCGCCTTGACGTTGACATTTGTCCCACTGACGATAATATAGAGACAATATCAAACCTTGGAGGGATACGTTGGAAATTCCGATAACGTTGTGATAAGCCTTAGCTGGTTCCAAAATGAACCGGGAACATGCTGAAAAGACCCAAAAGAGGTTGAAGTCAAAAGTTGAAAATTCGATTTTCTAGCCGCTAAGCTTTACGATAATGGAAGGAGACCCTCTTAGATGTATGGAAATCAGTAACTTGTAAGATTACCGGGTTTATAGGCACGGCTAGCACCCTATGTCACATGATACCTAAGGTAAGCTATACCAAACCCAAGTTTCTCGACTTCTATATGTTTATCCCTACTATCAGTATTATATTATTTTAATCTGATTACTCTATTCCGCTACTGGGAACATTACTTCTTTTATTAATGTAAATACCGTAATGACTAAGGTAGGACAATAGGTCTTAGTATAGTTGACTTAGGTGCCCTGGATTATAGTTTACATTTCCATGCAGAGTTCGAAATAGAACAGACCTACAACCAATGATTTTCAGCTTGCTCCATTATATATACTCGGCTTGCCGTCCGGATTTGGCAGATTGACAACAACCTGTGGGTTAAAAACTAACGATCGAGGCGTTTACGGGATACGCCCCTACCCTTCTTTTTACGATCACTCGTGGTACGCTGATTGGCGAGGAGCGAATAGGGAACTTCGCTTCAGGTATCAACTCGGGTATCGAGGGCTCAGACCAACAACACGACCGGGACTTTTCCCCTCATCGGTCCAGGTACGAAGATGCTAGTCCATGCATAGAGTCTTTGGCGATAGGTTAACATCTGATGACATTCCTATCTGGGATTGTGTGATACACAAACAAAATGCCGTGCAGTCAGTTCCTGGAGTTTGAGGGACCAATATTTGGGAAATGAAGCCTACCATTGCTGTGCTTCCATGCATATTGTTCTTCAATTGCTTCTACTGCAGAACCCATCAATAGAATCTCCTATCAGACTCAAGGACTCTGAGTAGATATCGGGTTTGCCAAGGACAATTCATCAACTGACTCTCTCACCTTGGAGGATTCTACACCACGGTAGGATTCCACTTTGATGAATATTAGTATTTGGCGCTACGATAACCCATCGCGGAACTTCAACACTATGGTTCAGTTTATCGCGTCCATTGATCTACCGTGTCTAACGAGAGCACTTTACACTTGCATATTGCAATTTGACAGCTTTCAAGCACGATGTCATCGTCCTTGCTTCGGAACTTGTGAACCTGGATTTGATACATATGGAAAGAGTATTGTATACCCCATTAAAAGGCGTGTGTTGGATGTAAGTTAACTGCCTAAAGAGGCTAGTACCAGCGCCAAATATCAATAGACCTGCACCAAATAGACAGATAGTGGGATCTCTAAAGATATACTTCAAGGATTAGTACTATTGCAGAAGGTGGTCGAGGACGAGTCAATACCACCACACGCCTTTGCATTTGTGATTGTGGTATGCATGTCTTTTCTTGGCATTCGTTTATGGTGTACAACCAACTCTGGTCATGCTTTCAACCTTACATGTGAGTGAGTGATAATAATCACATCCTAGATATATAAGTATGTTAAGATCTCCCGTCTGAGGTTCCTTTTCGTATCACCAGCATCTATCCCTTCCTATTCTATTCATCCAAACCAGTAGCAATCTCTCGGTTATTCATTATGGCTCCTTACTTTGCAAAGATCGCCGCTTTGGCAGCAATTGTCCTTCCATTTGTTGCTGCTGCTCCAACGAGCACCCATCACTTGAAGATTCGCAACGTTGATGCTACCGATGTCGTCGCTGACAGCTACATTGTCGTTTACAAGCAGGATGTCTCTGCCGAAGTCATCTCTTCTCACGTCGAGCATGTCAACTCTTTGATCTCAAAGCGTGACACTGCTGGTTCTATCGGAGCCACCTATGAAATCGTCGACTTCAAGGGATACCAAGTCAGCGCTGATTTGGAAACCATCAACGCTATTGCTGCTTCTGAAGAGGTACCTATGTTCAGCCACTTTTCTTTCGTTTATATTCTTACATTTTTCAGGTTGCCTACGTTGAGAAGGATGGAATTATGAGAACTCAAGCTCTGACCACTCAAACCGGCGCTCCATACGGTCTTGGTCGTATTTCCCACAAGTCTGCTGCATCCACCACCTCTTACGTATACGACTCAACTGCCGGTTCAGGTGTTACCATCTACATTGTAGACACCGGTGTCAACCTCCAGCACGTCGAGTTTGAGGGCCGTGCTACCTGGGGAGCAAACTACATCTCTGGATCCCCAGTAAGTAATTTCTGGGAAACATGCAATTCTCATAGCTAACAAATACCAGAACACCGATGAGTACGGACACGGAACTCACTGTGCCGGAACTTCTGCAGGAAAGACCTATGGTGTTGCTAAGAAAGCCAGCATTGTTGCCGTCAAGGTTCTCGACTCCACCGGATCTGGATCTACTTCAGGTGTTATCTCAGGTGTTCAATGGGTTGCCACAAACGCCCGGCCTAGATCTGTTTTGAGCATGTCTCTTGGAGGAGGATTTTCCTCTGCTATGAACTCTGCTGTTGCAGCTGCAGTCCGTGCCGGTTAGTGCTCAAAGTCCTAAGCGAGCGAGGAAATTATTTACGCTTCTCGGCTACTCCCCTGAGAAAAAACAAATGCTAATGTCCAACAGGTGTCACCAACGTCGTCGCCGCAGGTAACTCTGGTGCCAACGCTGCCAACTACTCTCCCGCATCTGAGCCAAGTGCCATCACTGTCGGTGCTATCAGTAGCACTAACGCTCGTGCCTCATTCTCCAACTATGGTACACTTCTCGACATCTTCGCCCCAGGCGTCAAGTATGGCTTCTCCCTTAGATTACCATAAGGTAAACAGTCACTAATACTCTTATAGCACTCTCTCCGCATGGATCGGTTCCACCACCGCTACCAACACCATCAGCGGTACCTCCATGGCCACCCCACACATCGCCGGTTTGGCCGCTTACCTCATCGGCCTCGAGGGTCTTGCTACCCCAGCTGCCGTTCTCAGCCGCATCACTGCTCTTGCCACCTCTGGTCAAGTCACCAGTGTTCAGGGTTCCGTCAACCTCATCGGTTACAACGGTAATGGTGCATAAATATCTCGCCATGGCATTTAAGATGTAGAAGGGTTCCTTGAAACAGGAAATGCATTCAATACGGAGTAAACTTTCCCTTCTGTTACGCACTGGATCAGGACCATATCTTTGCATATTGGCTGGTTGGTGGGAAGAGGGGTAGCCTTCGCTGACTGAGTAGGAGGGTTTAATTTTGATTCTTTAATAATGAAATTTGATTAAACTCAAGAAATTTTCCTTGTGATGGATATCATTCATTTCCATTTGTGTGTTTGAATAGCCATCGAAAGTGAGGCTCTTCTTTGGATGAGGATACTAAAGCGTTGAGAGTCGATCCAGCTCACTGGCCCAGGGTGCTCCACAAGTGAGAATCTTTCAGAAAAGTCCAGAGGAAGCTTCCAATTCTAGTTATGCTCGTTTCTTTGCTATGGTCGGAAGATCTGTAGAGTACCGAGCGCGTACCAGCAAGTTTTCAAGAGCGAGGTGCGAATTGTTCATTCTCTTGTCTCCTCGACATTTAAACAACGAAAGTGACAAGCTGGGAGATATCACATGCTTTTAGAATAGCATATATACTCTAAAAACCTAAATACGCTCCTCATTCCATCACTATACAGACCGCTTGATATTTTCTACAACCACTCGATCTACATTACAACGCAATAACTTAAGGCCCCTATAGTCTCCGACTAACTCAATCCTCAGTCGAAGTACCTACACTCTCTTGAAAGATGACCTCGTCCACCCCTGAGCGGGCTCCCGCGCCCATTGTCTTCCCCATACTTGGTCTCAAGCCTGATGTTCACCTTCAAGTCTTCCACCAGGCATTCCATGTTCATTCATTGGCCCTGAAGATGAGCTCCGAATTCTTTCGCAAGTATCTTGATTCGCCGGGGAAGGTTGCCTCGACCCCGCCAATAAATTCTGAGTTTGCGTACAAGTGGGTTACCCAAATTGACGAAGATGGCACATGGTCATTAGTCTCCGCTGAGACTTTGGTATGTACAGTCTTTTCATACGCATCTTCCTATTACATCCGAACCCTAGCTAGCTTTTGGCTAGGATGACACTGATCGAGTGATAGCATCAAACCCCAACCGCCAAATTGGCTGGATCACCCTCCACACATGTCGAGGCTTTCCGCACCCTCCTCCAGGCGATGTACAACTGTCCAATCGTAATTAAGTCACCTCGTCAATTGATCGACCTCGCGGGTCTAGCAGACTACTACCGTTGTCTTCCAAACTTGTCGGTCGCTGGTATGTTTTATTTTATTCTATTCTCCCTTCTAACATCTTTCTCATACAAAGAACGGACACCCATATGAACCCTACAAGCCCATTTTCTCTCTGTATTTTTTAATTTTTGCTTCTGTTTGACCGTCGTTATAACTAACCTTCGACCATAGCTTCAGCCAGCCTTTACCGTAGCCCTGGTATTATGTCTGGATTTCCAAATCACTGCCTGGAACTGGTAGATGTGGCAGCTAAATTGAGAAACAAGATATTGTTCAAAGAATGCTTGATCTATTTGGTTAGAGCATTCCATGACCCTATGTACCAAAGAATACGAGACCAGAAATTACGACTCTTCGCAGAACAAACACATCGCGCCCTAAAATCAAAAATTGCAGAACACCACTTGTCAACCTTCGACGTTGTTGCGATGCACTACAATCCCAATAGAACCATCGAGAGCAGGGGATATGCAGACCTTGGTGTCTCGAGCATATTACTCGCATGGGGTACCAAAGACCAATCCAGACGTGCTGTGTTGCCTCTTTTGTTCAGAGAGCTTCTCAAGAAAGCAGAACCCGATTTTCCCGCCTATGCCGCTCTCTTGAAAACCGCATTGCAGAGCAACCTGAAACTAAACCCATCTGCCCGTGCTGGTGAAGGCAAGTTTGAAGACACATTTCTATGTGCAGAGATTTCTGATGATATGTTACCATGGGATGTCAACGAAATAGCTTGGTAGATGATGAAATCCTGCTAGGGAGCCAGGAAGACTCGACGGCTTGCAGCGTCAATTGACATCTGTTTTTCTTACTAAGGATACGGTGGCTATGGAGATGATTCTCGCGAGTGTTGCAGGCTAAAACGGGTCTGACTGAGTCTATTCAAGTAGACTAGGTGTCAATTCTGAATGGGCTACAAACACTTTCAGGCTACAAGTCCCTTGATTTAATCATCTTGAGGCCTACTTTGATATGGAGGAATCCTGAATTAAGGGTATAAATTCGACCTCTAGTAATAAACATAAGATCTTCAGTATACGGTTAAAATTAGCCGTTGTCTTATGTTCTATGTGAACAGACTTCTTGGCGATATCCAATTGCGTGATTCATTTTCACAAGTTTTGATTCAACGTTAGTTGTTACGCATCTGGGCATAGATTGAAGCTTCAGGGGTCGCTTCAGAGGAGTTCGCTTAAAGGTTGCCAAGAGATAGACCTAGTGAACTCTTGACAGTCGCGACTTTAACCTAGCCAGACCCTCCTTAGCTCAAATTTCTCTTGTATCTTTCACTCCACCTGTGAACCTAGGATGGCTCAAAAACATATCCACTATCAGCAATGTCTGCTACCTTGAAAGTCAATGTTGGTTTAACCCAGTTAAGTCAATAGCACGACATGAATGTAAAGGTAATAGTATTCTATATTACTATGACTATTGAATGTATGCAACGAGTACAGGTCGCAAGTGTACGCTATTATGTACACATGCCAAGGCTAACGAAGCTAGATATATCACGTGCATCGAGTACTATGTACTTGATCGGCAGTCGGCGGCTTCAAAATCATTCCATAGCTTTCAAGTCAACCTTCCAACGACATAGCAACATTCTCAGCCATGGAAGCTACTCAAACACCCACAACAAATGGCGGAAACACCACACCAGCAACCATCATTCTTCAGTTACCAGATATTGGCGCCATTGACGTTCAAATTGTGGTCTTTGGGCAAGAATTCAATGTGCAAAGTGCGCAGCTAAAGTTACAATCCATCTTCTTTCGATCTAGCATCAATTGGCCAGGAAGATTTGAGACAGACTACGCAGGCGCTTTTCGACTTCGGTATATGTCAGTTATTGAGGAGGATGGCACATGGTCTCTCCAAGATACTTCTCGAATCGTGAGTATTGGCTTTCTCTATACCAGCACTAGGCGAGGCAAGAACGATGAAGCTAGCAAACCTTAGCTGTTGTACCAAGGTCCAACTTAAACCTTTGAGTTCTTGAGGCATATGATTTTGGAAAAGATTGCTGCATATGCTGAAGAGAAGGCGTCTCGAGTTTACAGTCACTGATTCCTGCATCCATCAATACTACCTATTCTGGACTTGACTGACATAAGATCTTAGAAGAGTGACACAGCCGCATCTCAACATCCACTGAATGGTGACACAGAAACAGAAATCGAAGCTTTTCACCTGGTCTTAGCAGCAATCTATGATCATCCCCTGGCAATCAACACAGTAGATGGACTTATTTCAGCAGTAGGGTTGGCGGACTACTATGGCTTGCATGAACTGTTTCCAAGATGGGTTTCCTCAGTTTTGGCCCAATCCCACAATATGCAAGCGTATATACACACAGACTGCAAGGTGTTATTACCTGTAGCAGCGCAACTCAAGAATGCTGTCCTTTTTCGAGAATGCGTCGTTCACATCGCTGGTGCTCACTGGCGTCGGCCTGAAGAGGTTTGGGAGGAATTCGAGGATTGGAAGTTGAGACGACTGATTTGGATTGCGTGTAGAAGAATCAACGACAAGACTAGGAAGCTTCAAGGTCTATATCATTACTATCATCTGTGTTCACGCCTTAGAGAAACCGTGCCGTCTACTCATCTTGATCCCGAGAAGCGTCTACCAGAGTTTTTCTATGCCCTACATTACAATCATTGTGTCCTCCACGCATCACTATTTGTGTGTGCTTTTGACTAAATGGAGGAGTTGTTGACCAACAACCTTAAATTGCATGGGAAGGATCTGGTTGTAGGAAGGAATGAGGATCTCCTGGATACATTTCTTTGCGCTGAAGTCGAAGACCAAGACCTTCCATGGAATACACCTTAGGGGACATGGTGACTCATGGTGTCGTGTGCAGGAGACTAGGTGTGAGTGTGGCAATAACAGGTCCCCATTGAGGTGGAAATGAATAGTCTCTTGACTTTGTGGATCTATCTGGATCAGAATAGATATCATTGGGATACGTTTCTCTTTATGGAAACAGATACCACGAGCTTACTTGCAGCTCTTGATAAACATCTCCCAAGAAGAAAAATGAGAATTATTTTTTCGTAGGTTTGGAGGCATGGATGAAAGTTGTGCAGCCTCCATTCGATTGCCAAGAAATGTCCATGGGAACGGAAGATGTTGTGAAGCTCAGCGTGTAACAAACGTGAGAGGTCTAGAGATGAAGTTCGATGAAGACTGCTTATAGATTGCTTTCGCGTTCCAAGAAATTCATAGATTAGCTGAAATGAAAATGCAGAAACTCTTGGCTTTTCAACGTCAATGTGACTTGACGTTAAGCGAGCTGGATCGTCGACTGACAACAGAATAGTCCCCGCATTCTCGACAGAGTCCTCGAGAAAGATTGAGTAAGACCATGACTACTGGTCTAAATGTTCTCTTTTTTATTCCTCAGAAGTCTAGAAACTGGCGCAGGCGTTTCTAAAGCAGCAAGGAGTTGTCCGTCCTCTGCATGATATTCTGGAAGGCACGTGCGGGGAAGCAAACGGATTTTTCCAACGCACTTCAATCTGGGAAGTTGTCAATCCAGCTCTGACGTTGTACCTTCAGATTTACCTCTCAGAAAACTGCAGAGAGCTTGCACGCATTTCAAAGGCTCTCCCGGAGTCATCCTTACATCTCAAAAACCTAACGAACATACATCAACATGACAGAAAGTCTACGCGATACCGATGATCCTGCACCAATCGTGCTCGCCCGGCGCAACATGCATCCAGACGTCCATCTTCAAGTCTTTGATCAACAATTTCATGTCCATTCCATGGCCTTGAAGATGCATTCCGAGTTCTTCCGGTCCTTTTTCGACTCGGCGGATAAAAACCAACCGGCTTCGGATCCAGAGTTCAAATATATGTGGGTGACGAAGGTGGATGATGACGGAAATTGGTCTCTGGTGTGGGAACATGCGAAGGTATGTTTAAATTACATCGAAATGGTTCTTGCTTCTATTCTGGCGGGGACAGGCGAAGTGTTTGTCTCGACATCTCAGAGAGATTGAGAAATATGTTCGCCGAGATACTTCGCATAATGCGTCAAGTTGTTCTAGAAGATTGGGATTTTCACTTCAATAATCTCAGGGTGACAGGTCAAGGGGGCTACTTCCGCCCACCCTACATATAGAATCGAGACAGCCTACTGTCTGGCACCTTGAACAACTTTGCTGATATGCACCTGAACAGAAAGATCCCCTCGAATCGAGTGCTACCACAGTAGCTGATAAACCTCTTTGGATCAACGCCTTCAAGACAGTACTCTTTGCAATTCACAGCAAGGGAATCATTATCGAATCAGCCGCCCATCTGGCGGTCTGTACCCAGCTTGCAGATTACTACCGTTGCCTTCCAATTCTCAGTCAAGCAGTTTCATCGTCTTTGATGGATAGCACAGCTTTTGTAGAGTCAATCGCAGACGAGTGCTGCAACTTACTGGAAACGGCGGCCAGATTCAGGAACAAGCTGTTGTTCAAAGAGTGCCTTATACACTTGACCGGTAAGTCTTTTCTTTTCCACCTAGAGCTAGGGTACAAGTTTCAATTGGTGTAAGAAGTACTATTCATTGGTCAGGAATTCTCGGTTGAAGGCCGATGGTACAATAAACGGAACTAATGAAGATATATATATTTTAGGCCCATGGATCAATCCACAATATCGTTCTTTGCAAGAGCCACTGTTGCGAGCTGCCGGCGAAAAGGCTTACGAAAGTATTCTTATACTTATATTAAAATATCACGAAAAGGCCTTGCGGCTAGCTCACTATACCTATGGTGAGGATCTTGAGGCTGAAGCTCTGCAGTTTGAAATTTCACGGCAATGCACATTGGATGAAATTGAGTCGCCACAAGTATCGAGGACAGGAAGACGAAGGACCGAGACGCGACTACGACTGCCAGAATATTATCGCACACTTTACTCCAAGATAGAGCATGGTATCCCCTCCAGCTACGAATCAATCTTACAACCCTTGCTCAAGAGTAACCTCTCTAGACAGGAGTGGAGAGCTCTCAGGCAAGGGCAAATATGCCGAGTTCTTTCTTTGTGCGGATATTCGAGACGAAGATCTTCCATGGAATATCAAGCGAGAAGAGTGGTAAACAGTAAGTTTGAATCCTTTTATGTACTTGGCATAACTTTTGACCATCTTTGAAGCAGGGTGATCTTATGAATGGAAAATTAGAATGATTGGGACTTGGACTATGTGTGTTATATGTTTGATGATTTATGAAATTGCTGGTGACAATTCTACTGTACTAGTGTGTTAAAAGTTTTATGTGTTCGAATTTTGGATTGATGGTATCAGGGTAGCGGGAAGAATATTCGAGAGAGAATTAGCCGAACGAAATTGAAACTACAATCGTACTCTTTTCAAAAGGGGTTAGCTGCCCCCTATTTTGAGAGCAAACTTTCCTTCTTAAGAGGTAATTCCAACAGCTTAACACCCTCACTTCCCCCCTCACAAACTCCAATATCTACTTATCTCCAACCAAAAACCCACCTCAAACGAAATAACAACAACCCCCAAGACACAAGCAAAGACATCATCACATCATACCAAAACCCAACAAAGAAACACCAAACCGTTCCTTCTACATCCATCCAAAACCCCAAGTCCACTCTTCAGTTTTCCAGAGACAGTGCCACCCCTATAGTACTTCCATACCTCGCTCGATTGGAGGAGAAACTTTAGCTGCTATACTTCCAAATTTCGAGATAGGTAGTTTATGAGATAAAAGGAGTATGGATGGGGTTGGTATTCGTACAGCAAAGGTATACTGTATACGTAGTTCGTTATTATATTTGCTAAGTAAATTCCACTGTTCTTTCTTTATAAGAATATAGTACTGTATTGCTTCAGGACACTTCCCATTATCGACAGTGAACCTAAGTTGTTCACATACCTAAGTATAATGACGAGAACTAAATCAAAGGAGATAGAGAGTAGTGATGTCAAAGCACCTATTGTTGCAGATCGACTCTGTTGACGATATAGTACCAATCCCGTTCAGAACCTTAAAAACCGCAACAACGAGAAGCTTAGATCAGAGCTTCCCAAACATTCTCAATACAATACAATACAATACATACAAAACCCACCATCTCAAACCCATCGAACATCAACCTACTTCACAAACCAACAAATTCCCATCATCTCTCTGCGGATACTTTCCATATCCTCTAAATCTACTCTCCAAAATTCCAAAAGTTAGAGAAAGATTTCTTCCGCCTTCTCCAGTCCAGTCTACTGAAGCCCACTCACGATCAGCAAATCAATATCCCATTCACATCAAGAACACATAATTCCCTTAACCACTATACCACACTACACTACACTACATTACACCAACCACCCTCTCCCTCTCCCTAACCCTCCCCCTCTCTCCATCTCCCTCTCCCTCTC